AATTCTCTTCCAGATGGCACCCCTACAGGTGAAGCAGCAGCCTGTGAAATTACAGTCTGAATTACACTGCAGATGAGCAGGGCATTTGGAGCAAAGCCTTCTGATATCAGTAATAAATGACTTGGTTCAGAACCAAGGACAATTCCCAGGAAATTAAAAACTATACTATCACGGAGGGAGCCTATAGTAAAATGAAGTTTAGTAAAGTGGAAAGTTGAGAGAAAGGACAATAACCATTGGCAATACATATGTGAATCTCTTCATCTGCTAATATTTTTAACTATGCATATTAATTTATCTTACAAAGTGTCATGTATTGGTTCTGCATATATTCTGGTATGTCCATTGATTTTTCTAAATGGGTAATTTTCACAATAGATGGTGTTTAAGAGCCAGTTGCCAACTAAGCTATCACAATGAAATATTGTGAATGATATACCTATTGTAAATTCTAATTTAATATGTTCCATGGGAATTTTTTATTTCAGACATTTGCGTACTTAATTACAAATGTAGTATGATATAATACAAATACTAAATCTTATTTTCAATCATGTAAATCAATTTAAGAAGCAAGATAGAATAGTGATTCAGATCTTGACCTCTCTTGTTAGACCAAGTTTCAAAATATGGCTCATTCAACTGATTCTGTGATTATGAGCTGTTTTTTAAGCACTATTATTTTAAGTTATTTAGTATTTTAAGCCTTATTTTCTTATCAGTAAAAATGGAAATAACAAAAAATGTGCTTTGGGGAAGAACTAAATAATCTATATGAAGAAACTTAATACAATGAACTTTAACAACTATTATTATTATTTGAAATTTTTAATTTTAGAAAGCTAAACAGCATTTTAAAGTAACTGATTTTAATTTGTACCAGAAAAATAAAAAATAGGCATTGTTTCATTTTAATAAATGTTAATGATATGCATATATAGTCTTAATAACTCTGATTCTTTTATTCATTCAAAAATTGCTCATTGAGCTCCTGCTATGTTCCAGGGACATTTCTAACTCAGAAATATAGCTTCAGACAATATGGACAAAGTCCTTGCTCCTCTTAGAGCTTCCATTTTAGTATGGAAGTAAATTAAACACAAAATAAATAATATTTTAATTCTTAATTGCTATGATGAAATTGAAATTGAACTAGATGGAGCTTGAAGATATTTTATGTAGAGGCAGCATGAAAATTCTTTTTGAGGAGGTAGTAGTTGAGCAGATAGCTGGATACTAAGTGAAATGAATGACCAATAAAATTGTCACGTTTCATTGAGTCTTAAAAACGGTGGCATATTTAGGAGATACTCTAAATATGAAGAAATGTGTAATCTATTCTTGTTTTGAAGGAATACTTTTCTATTGATTTGCTAGTTCATTTATTTTTTCACTTAAGGTTTAGAAAGTATTTTCAGAAAATAGACTTACACAAGCAATATCTTGCTACTGAGATGAAAAGATATCAGAAATAGATACAGAGGAGAATATTGTTTTTAATTATACACCAATGAAAAGCAAAAAAAGAAATAAAAAATGGAAAAAGACGAAAGAAGAGCGATTTGCATGACCTGCTGCTTCTATTCTAGTCTAGTTCTGCCCCATGGTAGCTGACCCCATGTAGTGACTGCTGCTGAATTGAAGAGTCGTGAGATACGATCTAGGCATATGTGTTAGCTCTTTGCCAGGCACTGTGCTAAATCCTTTACGTGTATCAGCAAAAGCATTTGATCATTTGCTTTCTGAAATTCTTTCACCTAATTATGTTGGCTGATTCTAAAAAATAAGAAGCAAAGACATAGCATTTATGAAAGAGTATTTTTCTTGTCAAGGATGATTATCTTTTTTCTTTTGTTGCTTTGCACTCTAGCTCACTATTGAGTTTAGCAGCAGTGGGAATTGTATCTGAAGGCTGCTGTTTTGTAAGGGGAGCTAAAATTGTCCAGTATTATTTTTCCAGCTATGTGACCTAGAATGAGTCACTTAACCTCTCCAGTACTGATTTCTCTAATTTGAGAATTAGGTTGTTTTAATAGGTAGAACCTTAGAAACTATGTCTAATATTGTCCTACTTATCTGAATTTTTATCTTAGCTAAGGTAATCATTATGGGGTATGTGGAGAAATGCTTATTGGTGTTTATTGGTTCAAATGGAAGGAGATATATGGGGAACTCTTAAGTATAAATACTGAAGTTGAGAGTATTAAGTAAAATGGATGTTTTTGGCCCAGGGGAAGAAAAATCTCTGTGATTGGCACTAATTTGTCCAATTTGATCAAATTATTTTGATTGGGTTTTTAATTTTTATTAATTTTAAAAAATTTTTGAGCATGCATATATATGTATTCATATGCATATACAGAGTCTTTGTTCATGTGAAAAAGAAATAACATAAAATGTATTCTGGTAGACTCCTGGAAAAAAACAAATTTTTGTTCTTATTCATGGATTGTAATATGTGACCATGCTTTAAATAAATGTTACATGATTCTGGACAGTCTGGTAAGTTTTTATTCTCTAATTTATTAAGCGTAATTTAAAAATTCTAATTAGCCTTTACAGATATGTTTTTTTAAATAGCTCATAATTTTTTCCAGTTAGGCTAATAAGACTTATTGTTCCAAACCTTCTACATGTATTAATATATTTAATCCTCACAACAACTGTATGAAATAGAATATCATTGCCATTTTCACTTTACAGATGAAGAAACTCCCCCTTCTCATACTATACTATTGGTATTGACCAAAATACCAATTTAAAATATGGTGTAATTTAATCTCTGATGAATGGCTAATAATAACTTTATCTCACATGCAGTAAAGGAGGATGTTGCTAGAAGGAGCTACTTTTAGTTATTGATCAAAAAGACTGTTTTGGTTTGTTTGTAGTACATGAACGTAAGATGGAGTGTGAGCATATGGAAGCATAATACTTAGATTTAGCTAACTACTTTAAAAGGGTAATATTAGAAACAGTTTTGACACAGTGCCAAATCAATAACAAACTATTTTTTTACCCCTTCCATATAAGATTGGACTATAATGAATGCTTAATTTGTACCAAAATGTGGGTTTATTTTATTTTAATGTTTTAACATGCAGCAGTCTTGCAAATAAGAATCATTTTTTGGTTAACCTATTAACATGTTTTACCAGCTGATCCCTTTTTTCCCATAGGGTAAATAGATGCCTCCTCTTTTAATAATTCCTTGGCATAAATTATAATTCACTTTAATCAACAGATTAATGCTTATTTATTAGCATTTGTGTCCATAGATCTGCATGAATTATGTCAGATTGATAAATATTTCTTAGTTGAATTCCAAAAGTCTCTTGTGCTTTGAATACACAGATGATACTAATGGGGAACTAACTTGTAAGAATTAGATATTACTGAAGTACTCTACCCTGAAAAAGAGTTTCCACCAAATCCTTAATTTTCCTAATGCAAACACATTAATAAAAGAGCTTTGTTGCTAAGTCTTTCTTTTGTAGGCAATTATTTTCTTATCAATGAATTAGTGTGTTGGGGGTAAATGCCAAAGTAGAGATGCTAGCGGCAATTTAATTAGGTTCCTTTATAAGTGAGTCAAGCATGAGAGCTGTATTTTCTGTAATTTAAATTTGCTGTTAATCTCTTGTGAAGATTATCCACTTGGATTTGCAGGTTTTTCTTGTTCTAGAGAAACATTTAAAAAATTTTTGTTCGTCTGGGTTGAAGACTATTGTATTTATCCTGTCAAACAGTTATTTGTGCACAAAATAAATGAGTGAGAACAGTTTTGATTTAGAGTTCTAACACTAAGGTAAAATTCATATTGGTTCACCCTAAGCAATAGTAAGGTATATTGTGCGCTAAACACTGTGCTGCGCACTTAACTTTCCCTGCTGCTCAGGGCTGTTGGTGATTGGGCTCCAGTAGGAGAAAGACTGACTGAAACTGACATTAAGCGCTCACTCATGATTAATTTGTAACTTCTTTAATAAACTGTGTAGCTCACTATTAGAATGTATACTGTGTTGTGATACCAGTAGTGGCAAATTATCTTTTCATTTGTGCTATGATTACTGTTTCTTGGTAGAGGATTCATTACTGTTCTCTAAAATCTGGAGTACACTAGGGCAGTGTTTCATGAACTGTATGTATTTCAAACAACACTAGTTGTGCAAGGTGTTAAGTAGGAAAAAAAGAGGTCAGTAGTCAAAGAGTAATAGTTGGTGAAAATATATTCAATGGTCCTGTTAACCATAATACTTCTCAGAACTATTAATGTGGTAACGTGCATTATGAATTTCTAAGAGGACGATATAGCATCTGGTTTTCTCAAATCTCTTTGATTAAAGATCCCCTCCCTCTTTTTTTTTTAACCAAGAGAAAGTCACTGGGCAGGAAACACTTTGGGAAATGGTGTTCTAGACCAGGATATCCCAACCATTGCCCTATGGACATTTGGGGCCAGACAATTCTTTGTTTTGGGGGTGTTCTGTGCTGTGTATCATGTTGATCAGCATCCTCGGCTCTATCTACTAGATGCCAGTAACACCCCTCCTTCCTACCTGCTAGTTGTGGCAATCAAAATGTCTCCAGACATTGCCAAATGTCCCCCAGGGGCAAAATCTAGTTGAGAACCACTACTGTAGATTAATTTTGCAATATTCCAGAGAGTTATAAGATTTGTTAACAGTTTCCATCTGATTTTTTTTAATGAGGAAGAAACAATAGTCTAAAAAGTAGAAGCACAGGTAAACAAGACTCAGTACATTCTACTGAGTCTTTCTGGATTAATAAGCTTTCTGGATTCACTTTATACTCTGGCATGATTTTCTAATTATTATGTGGAGACCTTACTGCAAAAATAATTTCAAACTTTGCAGAATACTTTATGGTACAGACAGAAAATATATTTTTCATTAAAAGGGTAGCGCAGATGTTTAAATTGGTCTGCATATGAGGATATTGAGCATTCCTAACATCCATTTTTTTTCTGTTTTCTGCAGGGCTATTTTCTTCTTTTTGAGTCTATGTTAGATTCTGTCCTTTATGCAAAGAACAAATACTTGGCAAAAGGAGGATCGGGTGAGTATAAAATTCTAGCTTAATAATCTAATTTTAGTCTGGCAGAACCAAATGAACCTTTAGATTTCAAATAAACTATGCATGACTGAGAATGTTCCCAATAGAGATGAAAGATGTTTCCATTAGATGGAGCTTTAAGACATTTCGTTTAGTATACTGTTGATAGTGGAACATTATATATAAGATATGTAGGGCTCAAAGTTAATGGTTTTCTCCAGAACACTTTTATAAAAATACAAAGCACTAGATTTGGAAGCTGTGATGTCAAATCAAAATGTAACAACGTTTTTGTTTTTTTTAATCTTTATGACATTTAGTTGTTTGTTTTTTTCAAAAGAATATTTCATGCTAGGTTAGAGATTAGCATATTTTGCTGTGTATAATTTGCTCTCGTGTATAATGCACACCCATGTTTTTGGCCCAAACTTAAGAGGGGAAAAAATATTTTAATTTTTTAATTCATGTTTTTATTTGTTTACATTTAGGTACTTGTTTTTTGTATCATTAAGGAATTTTAGCATTTATTTTTTAACATATTGTGGTACAAGAAATTTTATATAACAAATTTTATATTACAAAACACAAAAACCAAATACAAGGTACAAGAAATTTTATGTATCAGTAACAAATTTACAACATTTACACATCATAGAAGGCCAAGAACTCTTCATCGTTGCAAGTTTGTCGTAAGTTCAACAAAACTGATTATCACAGTATATTATTTTGCATATGGATATCGTTATTGATTTCTAGCGTTAACACTTTTAACTCGTAAGCATAAGTAAAAGAATTAAAAACATTTATATAGATACGGAATTAGTATCTGCCCATGTATAATGCACATCCTTATTTTTCCCTTTACAAATTTGGGCAAAAAAAGGTGCACATTATACACGACAAAATATGGTATTCACTTTAGTGGCAAATTTTTCATGACCACTAAATATAAAATACCTGGCTTCTTTGTGGTTTAATGAGGACATTTAAATAGTGACTGGTTTCTACTAAGTTTTTAAAGCACAACATACCCAATCAGTATTTTTAAATGGATCCCAATAAATTTGGAAGGCTTTCTTTTCATGTCCCTAGTGAACTCTTAATCATATGAACTCTGCATACTCAAAGTCAGGTTGTGTTTTTACAGGCTTTCTGCTGTGAACAGTTGTATACAAACAAAATGTTCTTTCAGGGCAGGAATTATGTTTTGCTCATCTTTAACTCTTCAACAAGCTCTACATCTCCTGGAGCATAGATGAAGCATCATATGTGTTTATTGAATTGAATTATTACAATTGAATTGAATAATACTGGTCTCCCTTCACTCACCTCTCCCTGTGCCTTCCCTTTCTCAAAGCTTCAGGATCAACAAGTGGCATCCATGGTCAGAGTTCAGTTGATGAAACCGTTCTGTAAAAATGGATAAAAAGGAAGAGAAATTTTGAACTAGTGATATAAAGCACTGGACCATACTTATGCCTCCTGCCTATCCATGTTCTATGAAATTACTTTGGTTGTTATGGTACAAAAGAAATCAGTAAGGCCAAATCATAAAGCATAAAGAAAATTCTCCAGGACAATAGAGTTCTTTTTATAATAGCATTTAGCTGGATTGCCTTTCTTTTTCAGCATGCTCTCATTTTATCACTGTATTTTCTGCATTCATTTTAAGATAGGTTCCTGATCTCTGACATGAAGCTAGCTAGAATTTTTAGATATATTTTGCCCTGCAACTATTGGCTATATTTTTCTATAAAGCAGTGGCTTTTTTTAGAAATGAGAACTACACTTAATGATTTAAAAACTCGTGTTATCTACCATTTGTGGATTGTCTATACAAGCTGCCAAATAATAAACTCTACCTTTACTTATCTTATTACATGTAATTTTGAAATCAGCTCTTTGAGATTTTAGAAACAAAGGTGTCCTGGATGATATATACTAAGCGCCCAAGCCTTGTTTTTTTTTCTTTAAACTCAGATCTGCTGGAGCTTTCTTTTTACTATCCCTTATTGTTTCCCTACTAAAGTGTATTTTATTGAATCTGATTTTTGCCTTGAAATTGTTCTAGGGAAGATTTAGAAAACTGTTTCCATACCACCCTGAGTGATATTCATTGATCTTACTGAAGGAGTGACAGCAACTTAATACATTTAAATTGAATTCTTGATGAAATTCATTAAGAACTTACAGCATATGAGTAATGAGGTTATAGTTGAAATAGTGGCAGTGCTGTTTTCTATCATCGGAGGGATAAAGTGGAGGCTTGTAAGTCTAGTTTTTTCCAAATTTTTGTATAGCTAATGTTAGGACTAAGATAATCTGGAAGTCTACTGAAGAGAGGTCAGCATTTAACTGCCTAAGCAGTGCTGTTGAATTTTATTTGTTAACTGAATCAAGAGAAAAGAAGGAAAAGTCAGGAATGAGTAACATGAAGTAGTTTAGACTGTTTTGTGTATTTGAGTATGTCTTGATGAATATCACCAATTATCTACATGCTCATTCTTCTGTTGCAAAGTAAAGTTTCCTTTCATGGTTTGCTGAAGGAAAGATTTACTGAGCAATTTGTACTCTAAAATTTTAGAATGAATGAATTATGAGAGGAGAATATTGAAGACCCATAAAAGCATGAAGGGACCCCAATTTACTTTTATATGAATTAGCATTCAATTTATGTTTTATATATATATACACCCACACTCACACACATATACATATACATATATATACACATATATATATATAGTGGCATGGAAGTAAGAACTTGATAAAATATCATCAGCCGATAACTTGAGTATTCATTCTCCTTGTTATCACCAAGCAAGTACTCATTTACTACTATTACTACTAATAAAAATAATTTCATACAGTTAATGAAGTTGGGCTTACTAAAGACTACTTATACTAATATACTACTTATACTAATTTTAGCTAAGATTTACTAATGTTAACTGTGTGTTCTACATTCAACCAACCAAGAGATGAAGAGGAAAATTAAGAAAATGGTGGGTTTTTTTTTTTTACAACTAGAATTAAGACAAAAACAAATGTATGTTTTAGGATGACAACATAGAATGCAAATGTTTTATATCCTAACAATGTCACATACTGTATCTCAGAAAAATTGGAAAGGGAATGCAGAAGGCAAGTGGAAGGAAGTGTGTATACTTCAATTATTTTATCTTTAACAGCAGGAATTTATAGAATATCATTTAAAGCTGACAAATCAAGTAATAGAATTATAATCACATGTAGCACTACAAAGATAATAAACTTATGCTATTGATTAAAATTGAATGGTGAGGCTTGCACTGATACATCTTATCTATATGTTAATTGTGTTGGTGATTACATGACTATATATTTATCAAATCACATAGACTTATACACCAAAAAGAGTGAGTTTTACTGCATGTAAATATACCTATTAAAATGACTTTGAAAACAAGTGAAATGGCATTTCCCACTCTTTCAGATCAAATGCATTGGGATATGATTTGATTTCTCACTTTCCTGAAAAATATATTAAAGCTGTATACTAACTCTGTTCCTACTTCTGTATTTGTTGTATCATCAGTACATTCTCCTTTTAATTAAAAGAAAAATAATTGGATGATTAAAAAGAGGGAAGCGGAGAGGAAGAACAAGGAAATATATGAATTTTATCATTACTCATGATAGGAGATTAGTAGAGAGTGTTGAAAACAGATATTCTATAAGGTTGTAATTATAAATTTAGCTACTAGAACAGAAATACAGAACTTCCTAAATATAAAGACTAATACTCTGGAAAAAAGCAAAAAGACCATGTAGTGAGCTACTTAAAAAACAAAACAAAAACTACAAATACAGAAAAGATAACATAAAATTGTAGTGTTGTAGACAAAAAATATTTCTTATATCAATAAGTGTAAGTGGGCTAAACTCACCTATTCATAATACAAGAATTTTAGATTGGATATTGGATCACCAAAGAAAAGCCAATTCTGTGCACTTTATAGAGGCACATCTAAAACAAAATTATTCAGAAAAGTTAAAAAAGGATGAAAAAAGATATTCAGGCAATTCCTCCCCACCTCCAAAATGAAAACACTCATGATATTGATACCTAACAAGAGGGAATTGGGGCAAAATTTTATGAAATTAATCTTATGAAACTTCAAGTGAATCAACTGAAAATTATAAATAATAAAAGAATTTAGTATATAGATACAAAATGACATAATTATAAATAAGCAAGACTTATATGCAGACAACTTTACTACTGAAGAATGCACAAAGAAGATTTAAATAAATGAAAAGACAACCATGGACATAAAAAATCAGTGCCATAAAAATGTCAGTTCTCCCAAAATTAATTTAAAATGAGGTGCAATCCAAAAACACTGACAGTTGTTGATGATAGATAATAAGTACCTGAGAGTTAATTATGCTCTTTATTTTTGTATGTGTTTGAAATTTTTTATAGGATAAATTTTCTAAAATTGTAATGTAATTAATCCCAACCAACAGTTTTTTTTTAAATTGGAATTAAAACATTTTTAAAATAGGAGTGGCAAGGAAAACTCTCATGATAGAAGGGTAGCATCAGGGTGGGAGTGGGAGGACTGGAAGAATAGTGCTACCAAATACTAAACACATTTAAAGCCTCAGGAACAAAAATTATCACTGGCTCTTGAATGGACATATAGTTGAGCAGAATAGAGCATCCTGGTATAAATCCAACAATATAGCGCATCTCATATAATTAAGGAAATAATTTACTGTAGTAAGTTGTGTTAAGACAATTGGGTAGCCCTCTGTGTGAAAGAAAATAAAGTAATGTTTAATCCACACAATAAAGTATATACTGTAAATGTTAAATGCATCAAAAGGTAAATGCAAACAACAACCAGTATAACTACTAGAAGGAAACATAGGTGTATTTCTTAATAAAGTTGAGGGAAGGGGGCTTTCTAAATACAAACTTAAATTCAGATGCCTTAGAAAAAAGATTGATAAAT